ATAATGGGATGATGGTAGTCAATATTTTAAAGGATGCTATGTGAAAATATAATTAGGCTTGCCCTGCATAGGTCCAGAATCCCCAAATGGGAACAATGAGGGCAACCATGGAGCTTTTTGGTCTATGAAATTACTCAAAGAGCAAAATGGGCTTGCTCAGTGAGGAATGCTGTTCAAGCTGGGCAGGCTGCCCGCCAGGGGGTTCCACTCCGGAACCTCCTCACGACTTCAGCACTGTCCTCAACTCATGTGCTCAACTCATGTGCTCAACTCATGTGCTCAGCTCATTGGAAAACAGAACCCTGAACCAAGCAGCATGCAGTCTGTATGAATCCACTGCCTATGGAACGCATGCGGTACAAGAGAAGAGAGCGGAGGAGGAGACCTAGAGACACCCGTTATGTAAAGAAGTGCAGAATGAAGGACCAGCAGAGAACAGACAGTCAAAAATAAGAAGAAACACTGGGAGGTGATGTCTCACAGAGACCAACCCAAGAAAAAGTCTCCAAAAATCCCATTGCAAATGCCGCAGAAGTCATGAAGTGTTTTAAGAATTTTAAAGTGTCCGGGTGGTTGTGAGATAAGAAATCATCAATGGCTTGGTTTGGGATCTGTGGCAGGGGTTAGGAGTGGAGGTCATGCTCAGGGCGTGCCTCAGTTTAACTTAAGTTAGCGTATCCAGATGAGTTTATATATAGGCACTATGTCATTAGGATTACGTAAAAAGCTTTATCTTAATAAATGCCTGCACTTAAATTATGCTACAATTTTTGTAACTCCTTTTGGCAATTCCTTTTCATTGTTTAATATAAACAAAGCAGCAACAACAGCAAAAAGAAAGAACAAACAAAGTAGCCCAGGCCACTGACAGCCTCCGTGAGGTCAGACGTTTCCGTGGATTGGTGTGTACAAAAGAAAATTGTGCTTATTCTATGAGCTTTTTATTTAAAAAGACAACATCCAATAAATGTATATTATTAAGTAAAAGAAGCCAAACTGAAAAGGCTACATAATGTATCATTCCAACTATATGACAGTCTGGAAAAGGTAAGTATGGAGATGGTAATAAGATCTGTGCTTGCCAGGGGGTGGGGAGAGGGAGGGAGGAATAGGCAGAGCACAGAGAATTTTAGGGCAGTGAGAATGGTCTGCATCACACCATAGCGATGGAAACACAGCGTTACACAACATCTGTTCAAACCGGCAGCCTGTGCAGTACGGAGGTGAACCCTAAGGTAAACTATGGACTGGAGCCGATGAGAATGTGTCAGAGCAGGTTCACCAACCGTAACCAATGTACCACTCTGGTTCCACTCTCTTGCCCGAGGTCAGAAACCAGCGGCTGACAGCCAGCCACCAGCCACACAAGCCCTCCCCTGATCAAACCTACAAAGCCTCTTCCGACAACAGGGCCAGCCCTTACCTAACCACCTGACTGTGACATCCAGACCGTGTTCCTGCCCGGGTGCACAGGGCTTCCAATCCAGTTTTTAGACCCATTCCTGAATAGGAACAAGGAGCCAAAGATCACTGGACATTTGAGGAAAACCTCCAATAATAAAAGAGAGCAAAACAAACAGAAGGACCCCAGAATAAACAGACTCATGAAGGGAAAAGAAAAAAGCCATACAGGAAAGAATGGAGACATTCCATATTCATGAAATAAATTCTGGATGCCGGATGTTAGAAAATGAAACAATTTCTAGAATAAGCACAATTTTTTAGAAATTAAAAACAGCTAGCATTAGTTAAAAATTCAGTAGAAAATCTAAAAGATGTTAGTTGAGGTTATCTAAAGAAAGTAGAAAAAAAATAAGAGTTCTTACGAGAAGATACAAAGGAAAAACAGAAAAATTCTCAATGAAATAACATAAGAAAGTTTTTGAGACATTTCTAAGAAATCCTGACTGAAATGGCCCACCTGGTACCCAACACAGACAGTGAAAAAGAACCACACCAAAGCATACGGCTGTAAAATATCAAAGCAATAGCAATAAAGAAGAGGTTATAAAAGCTCCTAGGGAGAGAAAGAGGTCACACGGAAGGGCCGACAAGCCAGAGGGCACTAAATCCCTCCACCGCCACACTGGAGGGCAGAAGGTAATGAATGCAGCAGTGCCATTGAACGCCAGAGTGGGTTCTTCCAGCCTGGGCTGCTTTGCCGAGGCAAACTCGCACGGCAACCCAACTTTACCCTCACACGCCCTTTCCGAGGAGGTTACGAGTTGATGGATTGTAGAAGGGGATAGACCTAGAAAGTCCCTAAAATGACGAACAACCCCACAAGAGAATGTCACAGCATCCAGAAAACATAGGATTGCACACGGGAGACAGGCAAAGGGACTTCTGGGCTTGGGTTCCGGGGAGCTGCGGGAATGGCTGCACGGCAGAGCCCTCGGACCAGACCAGGGCAGGAACACATGGAAGGGAAACAGCCAGGGGCAGGAGGAAGGACGGATGAGAGGGAAGGAAGGATAATTTAATGTTTCCACGTCCTGGAAGAAGATCCGTCACCATAAGTCAGAGAGTTTGAAGATGAAATCGTGAAAGGTAAATCTAAAATCTAAAGAAACAAAAATACATTATCTAGAAAAAAATATTCAGTAAAGGAAATAGATATAATCTCAGCCAGAAATAGTAGTTACATAATCAGCATAATAAAAACACCGAGTGTTGATTTAAAGAAAAATTATAATTTAAGTATAGGAACAAAGGGGAGCAAAATCACAGTGTGGAAGGGTAAGAAGAGAATTAGCTTCATCTTCCAGAGCAGGGAGTTCATAGGCATCTTAAATATCAAAGCAGGACAGTGTACACATGTTATTAAGAAATGTGGCAGCAGGAGAAACGGCTAACTGCTGGAAGCGACTGTCACCAGGACAGAACGTTTTAGGTGGGAAGAGAGGGGTATAGCCCAGAGGGAGCCAGAAATACCGTACTAGTCAACTATTTAAATTATGTTTGTATTCTATTTTGATAAAGATAAAACTTGAATTAAATAAATGAATGTCAAGGTGTTTGGGGCTTAGAGACTATAAGCCTATAGTCTCCCCTTCCTTTGAGAAGCTTAGATAGCCTAAAAACTAAATATTAGCCTGGACCAATAAATAAACTGGTCCAGGCGTGGAAATTTTCAGTTTGGAGAAACACTGAAGAAGAAATTATTACAGTGGCAGAAAGGAGATGGGGCGTCAGAAGAAACAAGTTCTCTCCGAGAAGATGGAGGAGTGAGGGGTCCGGAGCATTTGTATCCAAAATAAGCCTAGACAGACAGAGAGACAGACAGACAGCTCTTTTTCAGTGGTGAGGGCTAGAGGATGGAAGAGAACCAACTGGCAAACAAAGGTATGTGAGGAAGAAACATACCTGTGGCTAAAGGACCAAGACAGGGCTGCACAGTCTCTTTTGGGGGTGAGTAGAAAGCCAACAAAAATGCCTGAGAAGTTACCAGAAGCAAATGTTCATTTCAATTAAATCAAGTAAATTTGCTCTTGGAGCAGGGCGGATGCACGTTGTCTTAATTGACAGTATTTGTACTCAGTCATTCTTCTACCTTCCCGCAAAGCTTTCTAACACTTCCCATCAGCATACCAACATTAATACTCTAGGGGATTGTGCTTCTATGGAACTAAGACTCCTCGAGAACCATCTTGTCCATTTCTATGCGACCAATACTGAGTCTCAATCATGCCTGTCATCAGGTAGATGTGGAAATATTTTATTTCCAAAAGTACAGAAGCATGTCAACTCACATACAGTATCTTAAAATGTTTCTATAGGCCAGAAGTCAGCATTCAGTAATTTTACCATATATTTTTAATAATACATAATGTCACATCATAGATTAACTCCTCCACCACAAATAGTCTGATTTAAATTCAAACTCACATCTGCAGCTGTCTCTCTGAGTACAGATACAGCTTACAGTCTGTTTCGGGTGGTGCCCATACTCTGACCTCAGATCAGCGGGGAAGACTACATGAAACTATGACTACCTCACAGATTCTAAATTAAGGCTCAGGGACACTCGCAACGAATAAAAAATCCATAATTGGTCATCAGTATCTCCCCAGCCTGATAATTAACCAGATTTTATGTTTTAAAATATCACATTTACTGATCCAGAATTAATTTGAGCACAGTTGGTCTCTATTAAACACTTCCTATTATTTAAACACATTGAATTTTATACTTTTCCTAAGAGGGAAATAATAGTCATTATTCACCATGAGTAGCATAATATTAATGCTAATTTTTAGAACTTTGCTGCCCTTTCCACTACATTAGCTGAAAACCAATTTCCTTAGTAATTGTTCAACACCTTTTCCATAAAACATTTCAGATCCATCTCATATAGGTTCAGATGGGGAGAAGGGAGGTTTACAAAATAAATAAGGAAAAGTTTCGTTTGCTATTTATCTTTTGTTGAATTTAAAGGATATTTTTCATTGCTATTAGTTAAACTCTTTCCCTAAGTTAGGGGACCAATAGAGGACTGCCAGGACCAATAGAGGATTTAAATCATTAATTAGTTCTCATTAACATAGTGGAAAAAATGAATTTGAAAAAGTCTCTCCGGAATGCCAGATAATGTCAATAAATCCTAATTTTTAGTTTTACAATGCAGTAAAACAAAGAATGGTCATTGTCTAAATGAATTAGGCTAATCAACAATTTAGGCCAAAATTCACATTTGTACACCTGCATACACCTTTCCACAAATTCCCCAAGGTTATGGAATATACCTTGTGGAATATACAGTGGACCAACTACCGTTGTTAGAGTAACACCATACTGACATTTCCTTATTTCATCCTTTTACTCTTTCAAAAATGTTTCAGAAAACCATTCCTAACAATGCATTTTATAATACATAAAGGTATTTGACCATGGAACTATGTTAGTTGCTACCTTTCAGGTCATACAAACTAAATAAGAGTTTAATAGCTCCAAAGATAACTTCGAGTTTCAGAGAGCATGCAAAGCATCTTTGAAAATACCTGATTTTGACTTCAGGATAACCTGAATGGTGTGTCCATCGTTGGTGACTTCACAGTCCCGACAGACTACATAGTTGGGCGAGAGGCGGACGTCCAGCAGTGAGGGGTCATATCTGGCTTCCCTGGAATTCAGGTTGATGGGAGACTGGTACTCCCCATTAGCCTCGGGAAACACCAAGCCCCATTCAACACCTGAGGACAAAATGAAGCACGTTTACATTGGTTTAAAAAAGAAGTTACAGTGAAATTTAACATGTTGAAACTAGTTTAAACAGTTTATAATCCCTGACACTAAGTGGGTTATGACTGCCACCTCTGTAAGATGAGATGTGGTCAATGTGTGTGAATCTTTGGATTTATATTTGGAATGATATGCTATCAAATACCACATACAAAACCTTCAGCTCACATAACATTCTGTTTGTGTTTGTCCACAGAAATGTACTAATTTATGACTAAGGAATTTAGGTCATCTTTAAGTGATTGGAAAAAATAATACCATACAAATTTCCTCTGCTCATCAGTTCAACTATGTGAAATAGCTGGGACTGTAGTAGTACTTGGGAAATACCTGTAACTCTCAACATGCTTAGTGAGAGCCCAAAACCATAAATCTGATGCTAGTGAATAAACACCTTATTAGAAATGCAAATGCAGTATTTTGAAGTGTACATATATACATGTCCACATGCCTACCTACATATTCATACATATATGCCCTTTCCATATTTTTATAATTAAAATGATACATTCTACATTTTTTTCGTAGATGCAGTCAACATCAATCAGCACGAGCAGCTGGCTATTTTAACAGACCTACATTTTTAGGGATAAATTCTAAACTTTTTTAAAAAGTCAACACCTTCTCCCCAAGCCCACTGATTCAGCCTGAAATTTAGGACATGTCTGCAAAGAATTGGCCGTGTTAGCGTCCTTCAGGAACAGCGTAGAGGCAGAAAACTTTCTCGCACCAGGTTCCTCACAGCAAGCAAGAAACGAGTAGTTTCACTGTTTCCGAAGGTGTTGGTTGAGTAAAGGGTAACGCTCTCCTCTTCGCTACTCGGGAGGCCAGGCTTGTCACGGCTGCAGCTTTAAGGCTCGCCCTCCGGATGAAGGCAGGTGCCAACTGCTGCCGGGCAGGAAGGCCGGGCTCCCCAACCCGAATGCAAGTGGCAGGCCCGCCCGCTCTCCCTGCCGCGCCTTCTGCCCCGAGACAGACCACGGGAATGGGAAAGTGGCAGAAACCCACGTGGGAGAGAGGGGACGCGGAGGTGCTCGGAGCGCCAGGGAGTAGAAGTACGCAGAGCCCAGCGCTGGGCAAAACACACGTGACGCAGCCTCCCACGCGCCGGCCGGGACCCTAGCCACCTTGATGTGCGGCGGGTTACCTTCTTCGTAGCCCCACTCCACACCCTCTTCCTCTTCCTCCTCATCCTCCTCTTTCTCCGGGAAGGCGACGGAATCTTCGATGAAGCTCAGATCGGCCATGGAGAAGCCGTGTGTGCTCTCAGCGCTGTCGCGGACGGTGCCTGCGCCCCCGCAGGGTAAGCGGACCAGAGCGGGGTTGTGGGGTGTGAGTGTGAGAGGGTGAAAGTGCACCTGTGAGTGCACGAGGGAGTGTGAGCGCGCGCGCGGTGAAAGGCAATGCAGGTGTGGCTGCGTGTGTGAGTGTGACTGTGAGCGCGAGCGGGAGGGCGTGCGGTCCCGAGTGCTGGGGCGCCCGGCGCTGGGGGCGCGTCCCAAGTCCTGGCGGAGCGCGGGAGAAGCAGCAGCTCCGGGAACTGGAGGGCGAATTATAAACCCGGCCAGGGCGTGGCCGGCACAGGAGGATCCGCCCCCTTGGCTCAGTGGCCGGATGACCCGGGGAAGGAGCGCAGGAGAGAGCCCCGGGACCACCGCGCAGAACCCGCGGAAGCCGCTGGGTCGCCTCGCGACTCGGCTTTCGCTGCCCCTTCTCGGGCCCTGAGCCTGCGGTCCCAAACCTGGTGGGTCACCGAGGGTCTGTGCCCAGGGCTGCGGTGCGCGGAGCCTAGGCCAGGGTCTTTCTGCTCTCACTCAAGTTCATCCTAACTCCGGGAAATACCAAACACAGAGAAAGCGGGACGGGGAGGAGAAAACTGGATTGCCTAAGGCAGGGGGAAAGAGAGGCCTGGGAGACGTGGTAACAAACTAAAGGTCATTTCCCTACTCCGAATCTTTATCTCTCAGTACCTACTTTTAAATTCGCCCTTGCAGCGCAGTGGAAACAAGTATGGAAAAACTTCCAAGAAACTTGTAGTTCCTAAAAACATTTAAGAAAAGAATGTTTTAACCAAGAAAGGCAAATATCATTTAGGGACATTTTTTCCATTAAAAAAAATATTTCAAAGGCAGGAGTAGTGAAAGGTAATGAAGAGCATTTGTTTAACCGTTCCAGCCCCTGGAGCGCCGCTGCAGAGGCGGCTCTCTGTGCACACAGCTCCTGACCGCCTCCTGAAATCGTGTAAACAATGAAACACACACATTGCGTAAGGAACAGGAACTCTCCTGACCCAACGAGACGGCCTCGTTACCTCTTAAATATGCTTCCCAGGCCACTGTCAATGAGCTCAGTCCCTTGTTCCGATGCCTTTGAAAAGCTTTAGTCAATAACCCCTGAGCAGGTTAACATCGCATTTTTAGAAAGTGCTGTTAGAAGGTATCTGCATATAATCAGCTCAGATTTGGACCTTCAGTAAATTCGTTCTAATGTGCTCTGTGCACTCACTGAAATGCCCCGTAGCAGTTCGAACAGTGGTTTCCTAAATCATACCACCCTTGTGGATGCTGAACTCCTCATGTGAGGCCAGAGACGCTCACTTCGGGGCTTTGGGGGTTCCCTTGTCCGCTGCATGCTCGGCCCTTCTCTTTTTTCAAAAAGCCACTTCACAGGCTACTAGGAATTTCTCCAGAAGATGGATTGGGACTGAAAGGAGGGAAAATTCAATCAATCTGCCACTTTCTAGAATGTTTAGCAAAATGGGTGAAAACTCTTGGTTAGCATTAGCTATGAAGATAACCTGTGGATTCGTGTAATTCAAATAATTTCTTTCTCCTTAACACAACACCAGGAAGTCCACCATTCAGTCTGAGAGAAATGGAATTCATTCTTCATTCACTGCCTTGTGGATGTTCTTGCGTGGACAGGCTCTCTCCTCAGCACGTTGGTGAGCCCGAGTCTGACAAAAGCCAAAGTCTATCCTGAAGCTGTAGCTATTAAAAACAAGAAACACTGCTCCAAATACCATTTGATCTCACCTTTAACAGGAAGGTAATCAATAAAACAAATGAACAAGCAAAATATAACCAAAGACACTGAAATAGAGAACAGGTTGACAGTGACCAGAGGGGAGAGGGGAGGGGATTTCAGGGGGAAAGGGGAAGGGTTTGCGGGAACAAGGTTAAAGGACATGTGGACAACAACTAAGGGAGCATGGAAATGGGAGGGAGGTGGGGAGGGCTGAGGGGGTGGGCTGGGATGGGAGTAAAAGACAGAAAACTGTACTTAAACAACAATTTAAATTTTTATTAATAATAAATAAATAATTAAAAATAAAAACAAGAAACACTACTCCAAATGTTGACCACTTTCCTTTGAAGTTCTTCAAAAAGAAATATCTCATTTCTTTCTCCTTTCATGAAAACTTTTTCAGAATCTTGGAAGTTTCATAAACTTTCTTTTAAAAATACGTGCATGCATTGATCGCGCGCCGCAGCTGACGGACCATCTGGAGGCTCCGCGATCCGCCACCCGGAGCCCAGCGGCAGTGTTCGTGTCTCTCTGACCCCGAATGGACACAGATGCTGCATCGTGGCCACTGAGTGACCACCAATTGCGTTTAAAGTGTCACATGAATTACAGAGATGTTGGCCAAACCAGAGGACCGCAAAATCACCATGGCAAAAAAAACTTCGTTTGTCATGGGTCAAAGGTGTACCATGTTTATAGCAGATAGGCTGAATTGTTAACATCCCATTTTTCAGCTAACAGATAATTTTGCATATAACCAACAGTGAATCACTGTTCATAAGTGCAGTTAGCCACTAGTCAAACATGTTTATTCATATTCTTTCTGAATTTTTCAACATGATGTGTATAATGTCACTCTTCTCAAGCCTAGGGTACCCTGTCTGAAACATATGAGCCATTCCACAGTGCATCCAAATATTCAATTAACAGCCTTAATTGCTTTGAGACTGTGTGCTTCAGATTTCTGCTAATTAACAGCACCTTAAGACCTTCTCTGGTTCCTGTACTATATTATCACTAAAGATGGAATTTCTATTTCTAGTTATTATAAAGTATCTGCCACTATTAAACCTAAACACACAGATCAAAGATATAGGGCAATTCTTTGATTTACAAAATAGAACAAGAACACCTAAATCTAATTTCTAAGAATCTAAAAATATCCATGCTCTATATATGAACATAAGTACTCCACATATCATTCTGGATAATTTTAATGCGTCTTAACCTAATACCATATTTGAGTCTTTAAATTAACTATATTATTCATTGTTATTATTTGCATAACTGAGGTCAAACAACGTAGTAGAACAACTCATTATAACTAAGACCTATATAGCTAGTTACTATTTGATACAGAGCATATAAATAGAAATACCTAAAGGGGACAAGCCTATCTAGATGTCAAAGGAACAAAGAGATAAATTGCATCCAGCACCCAGTACCTACACAGCCCTCCCTTCCCAGTCCTTTCTCACCCGTTTGCTATCTTACCAAGCTTTCTTATTGCAGCGGTGAGATTTGGCCCTAGAACTGTCTTAAACAAGCATTTCCTTCTTGTGTGCACCTAACGCTCTGGAAAAACCCCAAGAATAAGAGCTAACGCGTGCATGTCAAATGACTTCTAACCAGGCTATAAATCTCTGAACTTCAACCACAATGAATGACGTCCCTTCATACCCACTGCAGTAGGCACTCTAAGAGACCCCAAAAGGGATCAGACCTTTTTTCTGCCTTCAAGGAATGCACAGTTCTCTTGGTGGCAGGGGGAGGAGGTGAAATAATTCATGATAATAAAGGCAATATATTAAATAGAGATGTAAGTAGCATTACTTCTAAGGAAGATGCAACTCACACACATGGGAACAATCCAGGAAGGTGTCCCAGAAAAATGTCATCTGAGGCGAACACAGAAGGATAAGTAAATGGGACCTGGGGGACAGTGAGTGAGTGAACAGCACTCCAGGCATGGGCCATGGTGCCAGATACTGGCCATGCCTGCTGAGGAGCAGTTCTCTCCTCTGAGTACCTTCTGTGACCTGCCGAAACCCTCCAGGTCACTCAAAAAATGAGGGCTTTGTGGGGCTCTGGTCTGAGGCAGGACCCTTCTCCACTTGTTCAGTTTGTTAGTCCAGTGTTTGTTTTTTCAGTAAGGACATAAAATTTTTCCTCATTTTATACATTTTGATTTCTAAAGGTTTCAATCTTTTATTTACAAGGCAAGAAGCTCTGATTCTTTCTTTCATATTTACTTATTCAACTGATGAATCTCATTATTTTGCCTACTTAAAGTTGTGTTATAAGGCTGTTCTTCTTGGTCTTTTGTCTTCAGAACCATCAGCTTTTAGTCCTAGGGTTCAGCGTAGCCGAGGCAAATTGTGTTCTTTCTGTCATTCACAGCCCCTCTCTGTGAGATTATACCTTACAGAGAATTAAAATACAGGCGGCAGTGCAGGCACCACTTTCTAAGAGAAGCTTTAGTAGTTATTGTGCAGTTCCACATCCTTGCTGTCCCCCTGTCCCCGAATTCCCCAGCTCAGGAAGGTGCTGTTCCCTCCATCTGGATCCTAGAATGAAGAAAACCCACCCACAGATCAGAGCGCAGGCAAGTGGAAGTCAACATGTAATGTGAAAAATAAACCTTTGTTTTATAAGCCACTGACATTTAGGAGTCATTTGTTACAGCAGCATAACCTACCAAAAGTTGACTGTTACAGGAGCCCACCCGGTAAAGGTGACTTCAAGGGTAATTTTTATTTGTTCAAACACTTTTTTGCATGTCTTTTTCTTCAAAGTAAAAGTACGTCTCTGGCCTGCAAGAAAACTAAACAGTCTAATACAAGACACTTATCAACACCTTGCACATTTCTTAAAAGCCCTGCCTCTAACTAGGATCCTCCCAACCTCCCCACTCAGTGAGAAAGCCCTTGCCCATGGAAAATCCCTGTCTCCTCTCAGTAGACAGGGGCCCTGGCTCTCTCCACGCCTCTGAGGTCACACCAATTACGCCTGGAGCCCTATACCTACTTCAGCACCAAAATGACAGCAGGTGAACTTGGCATGATGGAGGTCGCTATATTGACGACTCCATAATCTGCCCTCCTGGGGCGCCTTCCTAGCATGTACAAATCTGCTACTTAAGTGGTTTAAAGTGCTTTCCTGATACCCTATACAGATCTGTAGCCCTGAAATTAGCATTGTGTTTTAAGGCTATATGTTATAACCACCTTCTCCAATGAACAATGAGCTCCCAAGAGCACAGGATTCATCTTGTTCCTCTCTGTACCTCCAGGTAGCATGCAGGAGACACTTAAAAGTCCATCTGCCTGTGCCACCAGCCCTACAGTGATCTGACTAGCCGTGATGAGTATTAGTGCAGCAGGAGTCCTGACCACTAAGGCAGAGGCTTCCGGGGCGCACTGGGGCCATAAAGAAGGGAGGGACAGAGCATACTTGGCCGCAGGTGTGTCAATAGGGACTTTATT